TTCTAAAACCAGCTTAAACATCTGGAAGTTCACGTTTCACATATTGCTGAAGCCTGGCTTGGAGAATTTTGGGTATTACTTTACTAGCTTGTGAGATGAGTGCAATTGTGTGGTAATTTGAACATTCTTTGGCATTGCCTTTCTTTGGGATTGGAATGAAAACTGACCTTTTCCAGTCCTGTGGCCACTGCTGAGTTTTCCACATCTGCTGGCATATTGAGTGCAGCACTACACAGCATCATCTTTCAGGATTTGAAATAGCTCAACTGGAATTCCATCACCTCCACTACCTTTTGTTCCTAGTGATGCTTCTAAGACCCACTTGACTTCACACTCCAGGATGTCTGGCTCTAGATGAGTGATCACACCATTGTGATTATCTGGGTCGTGAAGATCTTTTTTGTACAGTTCTTATGTGTATTCTTGCCACCTCTTCTTAATATCTTCTGCTTCTGTTAGGTCCATACCATTTCCCTCCTTTATTGAGCCCATCTTTGCATGAAATGTTCCCTTGGTATCCCTAATTTTCTTGAAGAGATCTCTAGTCTTTCCCATTGTATTGTTTTCCTCTCTTTCTTTGCACTGATCACTGAGAAAGGCTTTCTTATCTCTCCTTGGTATTCTTTGGAACTCTCCATTCAAATGGGAATATCTTTCCTTTTCTCCTTTGCTTTTCGCTTCCCTTCTTTTCACAGCTATTTGTAAGGACTCCTCAGAAAGCCTTTTTTTGTGTGCATTTCTTTTTCTTGGGGATGGTCTTGATCCCTGTCTCCTGTGTAATGTCACGAACCTCCATCCATAGCTCAATAATTAGCTTGCTCTAATTATTACATTCTACATAGCTGATCTCAGTCTACTGGTGGTCTCATTTTACAAGTCCAAGTGAAGTACAGAAATTTTTACATCTCTCTGTGTGTGTGCGTGCACTTAGTTTTGTCAGACTCTTTGCGACCCCATGATCTGTAGCTCCCCAGGCTCCTCTGTCTGTGGAATTCTCCAGTCAAGAATACTGGAGTTGGTTGCCGTTTCCTTCAGGAGATCTTCCTGATTCAGGGGTAAAACTCACGTTCTTTGTGTCTCCTGCTTTGGGAGGCAAGTTCTTTACCAGCTGAGCTATCGGTGAAACCCTTACATCACTTTATCCTCCCTCATTTATATTTGTTTTAAACATTACCTCTGTACACAATTCAGGCACAACACTGCCACATCAGGCAGTGTTGTAATTTTTGCTTCAACAACAAAATTGTGTTGTCAATTTTGAGAACACTAGAGGAAAAGTAAAGCCTGTTCTTGCTTCCCTTGTGTTTATGATTGCCATTAGCCATTCTTTTACACTAGTTCTGAGGCTGGCAAATTCTTTTTCATTGTCTGAAAATATTTTCATTTCTTCTTTTTTCCTAAAGCATATTTTCACTGTAGGATTCTGGGTTGACAGTTCTTTTAGCACATAGCAAAAATTTTACACTTCCCCTGACCACCATAGCTTTGAATTTGAAATATGCTGTCATTCTAATTGCTTTACCTCTATAGGTGAGATGTCATTTTTCTCTGGCTGCCTTTTACATTTTCCTATGTCCTTATTTTTCAGAACTTTAATTACAGCATGTCTTAGCATATATTTCTTTGGGTTTACTATGTTTCTTTGGGTTTATTATGTTCACTCAGCTTCCTAAATCTGTACACATTTATGTTGTGTTTTTCTTTTTTCAAATTTAGGAAGTGTTCAGCCATTATTTCTTCAGACTCTGTTTCAGTCCTGCTTTCTTTCTCATCTCCTTCCAGGACTCCAATAACCCAAATGTTAGATGTTGTAATCCATAAATCTCTGAGGCTCTGTTCAATTTTTTTCAGTCTCTTTACTCTCTACTGTTCAGATTGGTTGATTTCTGTTTTCTGGTTAACTAATTTTTTTTTTCTTCTATCCCCTTCATTCTTCTGTTAAACCCATCTACTAAGGTTTTTATTTTGTTCGCTTTATTTAATAGTTTTTAAATTTCCATTTGGTGCCTCTTTACATCATCTGTTTTATTTATTTATTTGGCTGGAACTGTTTGCTGAGTCTTTCTCTATTTTTTTCTTTCAAGTATGTTCATAATTGCTCACTAAAGCCTAGCCTTTTTCATCATGGCTGGTTTAAAATCCTTGTCAGGAAATTCTAATATCCTTGTCATCTCAGCATTGGCATCTATTAATGATCTTTGTACATTCCATTTGAGATCTTCCAGATTCATGGTATAGCAAGTAATTCAAAATTGAAATACGTTTTAAATTATTATTTTCTGAGATATTTGTATCTCATTTAGCTCTTCTATTTTAGTTGACTTTCTCTTACATTGCTCCACCAGGGCAGGTGGGGAGAATAGCCTCTTCACTCCCAGGTGGAGATAGCAATCTAGGTTCCCCACTTCCCTTCCATTGACATCTAGGGAGTGGGCAATTCTTCATTACTGCTTGCCAGGGGTGGGAGTTCCAGCTCCCCACATGGTGTCCACTGTTGGAGGGTGGCCTCATTGCTTTCCGTTAGTAGTAGGAGTCCTGACTCTACTGTGCCTCCTTCCAATACCATCCCATAGGAAAGAGAGAAGGATGCCTCATTCTGTCCACAGGGGAAGGCGATGCAGGCTCTCCACAGGTTCTCCACTGACTCCTTGAGGTGGGGGGGCACCTAGTCAGCAACCAGCAGAGATGAGAGTCCTGGCTCCTATTTCACTTTCTCTGGTATCACCACCCCAGTGTGGATGTGAGGCCGCCCCATTAGACCATCATGAGGTTTCAGATTTACACTCCCCACTCATCCTTTGCTAGTGTGTGTCTGTGGGGGCGTAGCTTCTCTGTGGTGTTTGGCTGGAGTACAGTAATTGTCTTCAAGTTTCCTGTCTTCCTAGGATGCCCTTTTCTTCATCTTTCTGCTAGAGAAACATGTTTTTATGGGGCTTTTCCTTTTTTTTTTTGTCTGTACCTGTTGTCCTGTCTGGATTGCTAGCTTCTTTGCCTCCAAATCTAGGGTATCTGAGACAAAAAAATAAAATAGGGAGGAACTCACCACGTTGTTGTTCTCAGGCCCTGTGGTCCTTAACCTGTCCGCCTTCCACACTCCATTCAGAATTTTGTTATGTTTGTTTTGTATATATGTATCATCCAATTTATTTTTAAGTTATATTGGCAAAAACATCAGATATCAGGTTTCTGCATGTGAAACTGGTTACTTAAATTTAACATACTTTTAAGGAAAATCATTATAGCAAGTGGTCTTCCTCAAACTATTAGAATTAATTTGCATTTGTAGGGATAGAAATTATCCTGTTTTAAATTAATGACAGAGGTACACTATTTGTAATAATTAATCAACAGGTAATCATTATTTTGACAGAAAAACAAATTATATGTTTAGAAAAACAAGTATATTAAAATATACCTAAAATGATTATAATTTTAATGTTTTTATGTATCCCTTATATTGATATGTTCTTTTACAATTAAGTTATAGAAAAAATTAAATAGCCATAAAATGTAAAATTTTTGTTCTCAATGACTATAATTTTCTGCAGATTTTCAAAGTAACAAAAATTGTCTTAAATTAATTCATTGAATGCTTATTAAAAACATAGTATGTGCCAGACATTGTGCTAGAGAGATAATCATGAGCAAATTGTATAGTTTCTGCCTTAATCAAGCACAGTGTTCTACTATAATAAAATATTTTTTAAAAAAACTGAAATTGAACCTTCTGTGAAAGCATTTTCTATGTTTTTATGAATGGTGATGCTCAGGAAAGTCAGAATGTTGATATTCTTTTGAGTATATGTCTCCAAGTACTATACAGAGAGAAACAGACTTTTCAAACAGCAGCATTTATCACTGATGTTTACAAAACTAAATTGAACTTAAAAGTGATATCGTAACTTGTTCCATCAATATACAACAAATATATTTCAGTTGTTTTCTCTAATATCACGTAGATTTTTAATATTGGTTTAAAGTGTAACATAGTTTAGACAGTGTTACCCAATGATGGCCAAGATTGTTGATGGTTTATATTAGCTGAAAGCTATAAAATCATCCAACGACTCTGTGAGCATTAGAATAATAATTTACCAAGACAATTACCACATACTGGAATTTTTTGCAGCTCTAATTCAGTATTATTAATAATGGATAAAATTGCACTTTTCTCAGGTTGCTGTGGGCAGTAGGGAATTATTTCAATGAATATTTCAGCACATTATTTTAATCATTGTTCCACCAAATCCAAGTGGGCAATATTTCATAGTTCTTAATTCAGTTACTAAGAAACCATGGTCATTAAATTGCAAACTATTTGTAGTGAGGTCTATCCTGTGATTTACAAGCCTTGTTAAAAACAGTGTAAAAGAATGCAAACTGTGCCATTAATACTTGTAATTTGATGCTGCATTTATTCTAAACTCCCAGTGATTAATGTTTTTAGTAGAAGGAACATTGTAAGGAAAGCAGACCTGAATGTTATAGTGCCTAAAATATGAGAATGTTACTATTTTAAGTTTGTCCATTTGCAGAGGAAACATAAGTATACAAATGCAATTGTAAAACAGAAATATCTCAAAAGTTACCTTATTTTTCCAATAAGACTAGAGAAATAAAGATTTAATTGTATTTGTTATTAAGAATTAAATTTACCATAATATGTAATATATAATGCCATTCACGTTCTTGATGGGTTCAATGTGTGAAAGTCGCTCAGTCATGTCAACTCCTTGCAGCCCCATGGACTATACAGTCCATGGAACTCTCCAGGCCAGAATACTGGAGTGGATAACCTTTTGCTTCTCCAGGGAATCTTCCCAACCCAGGGATTGAACCTAGGTCTCCAGATAATATTTAATCCTAATAAAAAGAAAGTCTGCAAAGCTTTTAAATTTCACTGTATAAACAGTCTGTTAATTCATATAACTTGAAAAAGTGTATTTCCAGTTATACATCATTATTAATAATCATTCTTGTTTTTCATGTTCCATTCTTAGCCAATTGCATGATTTCTGGCGTTTGGATTATTGGGAAGATGATCTTCGTCGAAGGAGACGGTTTGTCCGTAATGCATTTGGCTCCACTCACGCTGAAGCGTTGCTCAAAGCTGCAATCGAGTACGGTGAGTTCCGGTGCCTCTTATGCAGGAATGCTCCTCCGTGTGAGGTGACTCTCTGTGGTTGACAGTTCTTTTTCTTTCAGTACCTTTTCAGGTTCTCCATACATAAGTCAAAAATGTTCTACTTTAGTCTACTTTATCGTGCAGCATCATTTAGGTTACACTTAATTCATACAGTATTTCTCCCACTTGATGTATGTTAGACTCTTCAGCTTCTTTGTAATAGATTAGAAGACTTTACATAATTGGTTATTACCCACCATCCTTCTCACACAGCCTAAAACAAGAGTAAAGTCATTTTCCTTTTCAGCATGTTTCAAACTTTGGTCTTTCAGATTTTTTCACTTAAAAAAATTTACTATTGTAACTGTGTATTCAAATATATATATTTTTGTGTATAATTTGTGTGGGTATGTGTACATATGTACACTGTGTGAGTATACATGAAATATATATACAAACATGTGTGCTGTTATTTATATACACATATACCTGCACATACTTGAGTATTTAACTGAAATAAATATCTTGTTAATAATCTTACTACATGGCATTCTCTATTTTAACCCTATTCTATTCTATCATTTTCAGTCTAATAAAATAAATCATGCCTCTGTATGCCTGTGTAAGTTCACAATCCTCTAATTGCAAATAAAGTTTGAAAAATACCATCCTATATTAAACATAGCATGAGCTATCACACCACAGTAGAATTGCACCCTAAATTGTCCTCTATAAAATGTGCAATAGATAATAAATATCAAAATTTTTTTTGTAATTTAATCAAAATGCTGCTACTTTAGATTTCTGTCCACCAAAAAGTGTACATAGGGCTATTCTGTCTGTGCACCTAATTTTAAATAGTCTAAGAAATTTAAGTTTGATTGATCATATCACAAATTTTATAAACATGCCCTCAGAAAATACCATAATTGAATACTGTCCATATATTTTTGTTATTAACTACTTTTATTCTCACAGTCACTTGATTTTGGTTTTTTTGTTTTTTGTTTTTTGTTTTATTTGAGAGTAGTAAGTGAGCTCTGGGGCTTCCCAGGTGGCTCAGTGGTAAAGAAGAGGATTCTTTCCCTGATTCAGGAAGATCCCCTGGAGTGGGAGATGGTAACTCACTCCAATATTCTTGCCTGGAAAATCCCATGGCCAGAGAAGCCTGGTGGGCTACAGTCTGTGGGGTCACAAAAGAGTTGAACATTACTTAGTGACAAAACAACACCAACACATGATAGTGAGCCATGTGTTTTAAAATTTACCATAATAATATGTAGTAGAGGATGCCATTCATGTTCTGATAGATTAAATAGAGAAAATATGTAACCTTAATAGAAAGAAAATGTACACAGCTTTGAAAATTTATTGTATAAATAGTCTGTGAATTGATATAATTTACCAAGGATCACAACAAAAATAAATATGTGAGGATTCCAGGCTCCTCTGTCAATGGAATTCTCCAGGCAAGAATACTGGAGTGGGTAGCTATTCCCTTCTCCAGGGGACCTTCCTGACCCAGAGACTGAACCCCAGTCTCCTGGACTGCAGGCAGATTCTTTACAGTCTGAGTCACCAGGTAAGCCCCAAAACTAATATACCTAAAATAATACTATACAGTAAAAGTAACTACGGGAGAGACAGTGCTAAATATATATATATATATATATATGTATATATATATATATATACATATATATATATATATATAATAGTTGACTTGTACTATAGGTGATTTCTTTAATCAACTCAAAAAAAAAAAATCACCTAAGGATTCTGATACCTAAGGATTTAGCACCAATTTAAAATGAGTTGTTACCTTTATGTCCTACAAAAGAAATTCTTAAAAATATCTACTTAAAGTGGCATGCTTTATAATATGAACTTAAAATTTTTAAAACTTCCATTTTATATACATCCATTTAGGCATTTTCATCAATTCATGTTGAATTCATCTCATTTGAAATTTGAAGCATCTAAAAACAATTTGTAATAGAGGTTGGCCTGGCGTGATATTATTAGTGACACTGAGTTGCCAATACCACATTTGTATAGGATTCACATTATACCACATTTGTCATTTTACAGGTTGCTTGTAGAAAGGGTGTTAGAAAAATATTTCTTTTGCTTCTCTATAAAAATGGATGCCTTATTGTGTATATTCAATTTGTAAAATGTCTCTTTTGCTAAACCAGTGTCAAACCTTATCAGAAACAAACTTATTTTTTTATTAACATCTTTTTAAGATTGACTGTCATGTATTTTAGTAATATAGTAACCATTATTAATGTATCTAAACTAAAATATAAAATTCTGATTTTTAAATAAATGAAAGATATAGGTGATAATAAACATCTGTGTAGTATAAATGTGTCTTAAAATATATAGTGATTTATGAGGGCTTCCCAGGTAGTGCTAGTTGTAAAGAACCTGGCCAGTGTAGGAGACATAAGAGACGCAGGTTCTATCCCTGGGACAGGAAATCTCCTGGAGGAGGGCCTGGCAACCTACTCCAGTGTTCTTGCCTGGAGAATCCCATGGACAGAGGAGCCTGGTGAGCTACAGTCCATAGGGTTGCAGAGAGTCAGACGTGACTGAACCGACTTAGCACAGCATAACACAGTTGTTTATGAATTTTGAATAGTAGATCATTGGCAGTATTCAGAACCTGTCGTCCCTCCTGAATTGGATTCTTTGATGAAAGGGAAGTAGGGTATGTTTATGCATATTAGAACACAGACCGCATGCATGCCGTAAAGCGTTCGGGACCTCTACATCGCACCCGCCAGGTTTACTTTGTGGTCGTTCCTGGAGTTAAGGTGGAGTGTGCTACACTGGGGTCAGTCGCTCCAGTCGTGTCCAACTCTTTGTGACCCCGTGGACTGTAGCACACCAGGCTCTCTGTGCATGGGTTTCTCCAGGCATTGAACTCGTGGGATCTTCCCAACCCAGGGATTGAACCCATGGTTCCTGCATTTCCTGCATTGCAGGCAGACTCTTTCACCGCTGAGCCACCTGGGAAGCCCCTAGGATGGATAGTACAAGACAAAAAAGAACTCAGTTCTACTTCCAGAAACAGTTCCAGAACACTCCTCTTCAACTTCACATCAGAGGACTTCAGGAAGTGGGTAGAGGGTAGGGAGTAAGGTGAAGTATGGAGGATGTGAAGAGGTGAGTGAAAAGTTCTCCCTGGAGTGATCTGTACCTAGAAGTAGAAAGAGGAATTACAGATGGCCAGGAACATAGTCCTGTGTCTTCTCCCAAACACTTTTGTGCCTTCTAACCTATGTATAAAGTATTTCTTCAGAAGAAATAGGAAGTAAATGTCAGTAATTATTACAAAGCACTTCATTCAATGAAGATAGATGTTGAAAGACTTAATTGAAAACATATTTTGTATATTTTAGAGAAAGCTTTTGTATTCACATTTTCCCAGAACATTCATAAAAGCTAACAAAACTCAGACCATCATCTGGCCACTCTGCCTGCCATTAAACATTTAAATGTGTTTTAAGTACCTGAAAGTCTGGCAGTGTGTAGACTAACATCCAAATGATTTAATGTTTTGGTTTGTGTAGACATAGATGAAGGGTATAAATATAATAGAAACCTACAAATTTTGAGAGAGCTTCTAGAACAAGTTGGAATTCAATTATTTCTTCTTCTGTATTAAATAATTGCAGTATTTCAAATTCTGTCTTGAAAGTTAAACATTAAATGCACAGAGAAACTGCTGTAATCTATAGTCAGTTTTGTTTTGATTTTTCTGTTCATCTACATTGTGGCAACAAAATTATTTTAGGAACAAAAGGATATTTTATGACTGGAATGTTAAGTATGGCTACAAGTATTTGAATCAGTGATCTAAGTTTTTAGAATGTTAACCAAGTTGTACAAGCTGAAATAACCTAAAATTATTTCAACAGGGAATATTTACATGGCCATCAGAGCAGTCCCTGAGATTGACCACTGGTCATGTCTCTCTGTTCATGTAATACACTATGTTTCAAGAATGTGACCCTATATTAATATAATAGAAGTGAAACTGAATTTGCAGAGCTAATGTTTTAATAAATATGTTTGAATCACTAGAGTTTTCCTTCAATTCAGACATTTTAGATTAAATTAACTTTCGTGTGCTGGGCAGAAACAGCTGCAATTTAAATTTCCTGATATTATTTTTAGGTAATTTATTTGGAGCCACAAAACAAATACATTAGCAATACTTTCTTTTAAATGAACAAATAATCAGAATTGGATATATTTTCAAAGAGACATAAAGGAGAATTATTTCATATTTACTTTGAAAAGTGTTCTCTTCCATTTCATTATTAAAACTTTTGGTTGACCTTTTTCAGTTGGAAAACATCCTTAGCACTGATGGAGTTTTTCATGCTTCTTAGTAATACTAATGAATTGAATAATTTATGAGGTTGTCATGTGCAAAAGATTTGGTGTGATTTGATATACTTTCAGCCTCTGGTGTTGGAATGTGATTAATAAAAACCTAGAGGCATGTAATTTTTTTCCTGGTGTTTAATGTTCTAATTTCATATGTACTCAATGTACTATTTCAGTATTTTCTAATACTAAAATCTCATTCAAGTGCAAATTTAATTGATTACCAGGAATTTTTGCAGACCATAGCAATGGAAGAATATAAGGAAAATATTTTAAACTATAAATTCATCTTTTGATCTGCTAGACTTTCTTCTTCAGGGCAAATTAGCTAGTAAGCAAATGATTGAAATAGGAGTGTTCTATGTATTGCTTGTATATTAAAATAAAACCAAAACTAGACAGATTCTGGCACTGAAAGATTATGCTGTCAAAAAATAGTCAAAATCTTAATAAGTTTGGTTGTCTTGTTGACTGTCAATTATCATTTTGGACTCTGTTTCCCTTCCATGAAATTATAGTGGAACAATGTTTCATCAAAGCTTAAGATCTCAGACTCCCCCATGTCTGTGATCAAAGACGTCATCCTAAATAGGTCT